GAGGCGACAGAGAGGTTGAATTCTGGTGCTCAGCTCACTTTCTCCTTCCCACTTAGTCTGAACCCCCAGCCTGTGGAACCCATGGTTAGCCTGGGTCATCTCACTTCAGTTCACCTAGTGTAAATAATCCCTTTCAGGAATCCCAGGAGCTTGTCTCTCTCCTGTGATCCTTTACCTGCCACTCAGTATCAGCCAGCACAAATAATAACGAACTTTGCACTGTGCAGAGAGAAGAACCAGGGACATCATCCCTAAAACCACTGTGACACCGTGTGAGCCCCTGGATCAAGCCATATCGAAAGAACCGCACAGAACACTTGTGTTAAATGAAGTAGCACGTTTCTTTTTCCCCCAGAACTCATTCGGATGGTTTTCCTCTGTCTGCAGAAGCTTTCCGGATGGTGTGGAGATGGATCGCTGAGGCCCAGCAGCTCTGTATCTCAGCTGAGGTCATGCAATCAGGCCTTCCCGTCAGGGTCAGTGCTCAGTCCTGTGCTTTGTTCCACACGGAAGTTGAACTATAAAAGGATTAAAGAACCATGTGAGTTTTCCTCTCCTTCCCTCCTCGTATAATTTTACTCCACAACAGGAAATGACGCAACACCAACCATCCCTTGGCCACATTCAAAACAAACGCTCAGAAAACAACTTTCAGAATAAATCTCTTAGTGGATTTTAAACATTTATTATTGCCTCAAATTTATTTATGTCTGTCAAATTCTGATAGTGTTGACTATTTTGTTTATCCACAGATTGGGCGATTATGATCCCCTATGATCCTCCCTCATAGTAGCACAGGCCTTCAAGTTTCCTTAGAGAGCCAGGTCATGCGTCACATGACAAGGCCAGGACCTACTCGAGCAGAGAAGGTTTTCATGCATACAGAACACTGGAACAGAGAAGTGGAGCAGGTCTAAGCTTGCTAATGCACCCTGACTCAGTAGCCCAGCAGCAGAAGGTTCTGGAAACACAGCTTCGGAGCTGGAGTTTCAGATCTCTGTCCCAGGCAGGAAGTGGCCTTCAGTGTATTCAAGACGCTTGCTCACTCTCTGCCCAAATGTCAGTGACAGTGAGGGTGCAAAAGAAATACAAACCTGGAGACTGATGGGAAACACAGGCCACCGCAGCTGACGGGGAGAGCTGTCTACTGGGTCAAAGGCTGTCATTGTGCTTGTAAATCCACACGCATGTGTGAGACTGAGAGGTTTCTCAATTTGGGGGATTGAATCTTTTGTTTGGTATCTGTCTGTCATACACATATACATACACACACACACACACACACACACACACATCCATGATTCTTGTTTCCTGGATTCGGTATTCGCAGATTTACCTATGTGTTAGATTGTTGCCCTTACATCAATACCCACGTGCTTCCACAAGCGCGAGTGAAGCGTGAGTTGAGTAGCTCTCACTCACTCTCACCTGAGAGCAGCAAGGCTCAGGATTCATTCGGCCTTCAGGTCAGTGGTCACAGTGAGCAGGAATCCTTGCTGTCCCCTGGGTACTGCTTTTTAACCCTTTGTTATTTGGGGAAGTCATTTGCGTATTTAAAGCATCTCCCACCCGGGGCCTGAGAGATGGCTCAACAGTTAAAAACAAGCATTGCTCTTGCAGAGAACTCAAGGCTCAGTCACCAGCACCCATGTAGGGTGGCTCTTAATCACCTGTACCCACAGCTCCAGGGGATCCAATACCCTGTTTTGGCCTCCACAGATGTTTACACACATGTAAATACACACACACACACACACACACACACACACACATACATACATATAAATGCAAATAAAATAATATAATGAAGTATTCTATGATATTTTAGCGTGCAAAAGCTGGATGTGATTTATAGGAAAAAAAAGTACATGTGCTGGAGACACTTCCTTAAGATCTGGGTGATGTTAAAGAGTTACAGTGTGTATTAAATGCTAAAGAGTCACCGTATATATTAAATTCCTTGTTATATAAAGCAAGCTTCCATAGTGATCACAAGACAGACATAATCCAGCCAAAAGCTCACAGAGGCCCAGCACTGAGTTTTCCTAGGAGCGATAATTCCACATTTGCCAGTGCGCATTCTCGGTACAGAGTGCGGTTAACAGGGGCAACGAGGCCTGAGTGCAGAAACACACACAGTCTGTGCGTGGTTACGGTACACTAGCATATTTCCTACTTTCCTATGTATCTGCTTATCTTAATGAACAAATACAAATTACATGTGTTTATCGTGTTTATTTTCAATACATAACCATAAAATAGTTAACATGAGCAAATGTACCTATCTATCATCCCTCAGCATTTTTCGAGAGATTTCGAGAGCATTTAAAGATTTTTCTCCGTTATCCATTTTTTTAAAAAATGGAACACATGAGCCAGCGAAACGGCTCAGTAAGTAAGGTGCTTGCCACCAAGGCGGACAGCATGTGTTCAAACCCTGGAACGCACATGCCTGAAGGAGAGCACCGACTCCAGCAGGTTGCCCTCTGACCTCCACACTGGCACAGTAGCGCATGTGTGCGCACACACATGTACATGCATCCTACACTCACACAAAACTTAACTAATGCCATCCATCATTGCTAACTGTAATCACCTTGTATGTATAGATTTGTAGATTGTAATTGACATTGTGCATGATGGCTCTTGCTATAAAATCCACCTTTTTTTTTTTTTCAGAGACAAGGCATGCATGATATCCTTTCTATAGTCAACGGGAAGCTCCCAAAATAGATAGGTGGACAGAAAACTCAGCGCCTACTCCATCTACTTCTAGTAAAGGAGAGATTATACAGCACTGCTTCCTGAGCAGTCTTGGGATGGGCAGGGAAGAAGCCCCAATTGGCTACTAAGCCTTTCATTTGTCCCAGTAACAATATCCACTGGGGAGTGACGGACACGACAGAAAGTCACGAGGACTGTGCCTTGTTTCTCAGAACCTAGATCTGAACTCAGACTCTCCTCCTGACATGTGTCATTTTGTACCTGTTCCTTACCTCCCAAATTCAAGCCAGATATTTCTGTTCAAAATCTGAAGGATTACAGTTACACCGACCAGAGTTGAACTGTCAGAATCAGAAACTACATACGTGCATGGTGCCCCTGCTAGAGAAAGCACGGTGTGGGACAGTTTGAGCTAAGCAAGAAAGTTCCAGGTAATGCTAATATCTTCAGAAATCTCATGATGACCAAAGGGAGTGAGCCTAGCTAAAACTCTGACTCTCAACCTCAAAGGACGTTAATCCATTTGATATTGAGCTAACTCAGCAGTCCATTAAAAGTAATAGAATGAGCAGGAGTAGCCACAGCATGGGCATGTACAGAGCTGAGCACTCAGGATTATTTTTATAGGCTTATTTACTTGGCTTTGGGTAACTGGACCTTGAGTGCATGTCTTGAATTAAGTAGAAGATGCCTAGTATTTGCTGATGTCACCCTTACTGAAAGCCTCAGCCTCAGGTAAAGATTGATGACCATGTATCTCATTGTGACTTTGGGCTGTTCCCATAATGTTTCCTCCCAAATTGCTCATGATGAAAAAGAAAAAGTCCATCATCTCAGCAGAGTCCCTGAGCACGGCACGAATGCAGTAGAAGGCAGAGGGAGAGAAAGCAGAGAGCACATCTGGACAAACTGTGGACTGAACACACGTCTTTATTTCTGTCTTCTCTGAAATCCCATAAATGACCAAGTTTCAATGCCAGCAGCTCACAAGTCTTCTCTATGCTGACGGACATGAAAGGCTTTTCTAGTTCCTCATTCTTTGTGAGAAGAGAAAAACTAGCTACCAGAAACATACAGAAAATCTGTAACATGGAAAAAAGGGAAAAGGAAGTAGAAATAACCCATCAGAGACTGCCTTAGTTAGGGGTTTCTATTGCTGTGAAGAGACACTGTGACCACGACAACTCATATAAAGGAAAAGCATTTAATCAGGGCTGCCTTACAGGTTCAGAGGTTCAGTCCATTATCATCGTGGTGGGAATCACAGTGGCAAAGCGCAGGCAGACATGGTGCTGGAGAAGGAGCTGAGAGTTTTATATCCCGATCAGCAGGCAACAAGGCGCAAAACACCATGGCCTGGCTTGAGCTCCTGAAACCTCAAAGCCCACCCCTCCGTGACACACTTCCTCTGACAAGGCCACACCTACTCCAACAAGGCCACACCCCCTAATAGTGCCACTCCTATGAGCCTATGGTGGCCATTTTCTTTCAAAACACCACAGCAACCAATACCTGTCTCTGATAGAACACTCTGACCAGAAGCAACTTGGGGAGGAAAGAGTTTGTTCCATCTTACAAGTTACAGACCGTCATCTAGGGAAGCCAGGGCAGGAGCTCAAAGCAGGTCATTGAAACAATAACCATGAAGAGATGCTGCTTACTGGCTTGCTTCCTCTGGTTGGCTCAGCTACCTCTCTTACCTGCCCAGGTATGGTACCCACACCACAGTGGGCAGGGTCCTCCCACATCAATCACAAATGAAGAAAGCATCCCACAGATCTAGCTTATGGAGGCAATTCTTCAACTGGGCTTCACTCTTCCCAAGTGACTCTAGTTTGTGTCGATTTGACAAGGACCAACAAGAATAGAAAAACTGTGATAACTGTGATAAGTCAGACTTGATAGTGTAGCGCATGCCTCTAGCCTAGTGGTTGGGACACTGAAGCAGAATGGCACAATCCAGGCTAGCCTGGGTTACATAGAGAACCTGTCTCAAAACCAACAAGATTATTGCTTTAACCTCAGAGATAAGAGTAGCTACCCCATTCTGACACAAGATGAAGGAAGTTTAGAGAAATAAAAGAAAAAATTGTAACACAATACCTAAAGCATTTCATGGTAGCCTGCAGGACATTGTTCAGCCACACACTCAAGGTATAATAGCAGATCCTTAAATCCTTTCCAGTTCAATCATCTATAACCTAGTCCCCCAAATCTTGAAAGTTGAAAATCCACAGCTCAGGGCCAAGGTTAAAAATAAATGGTTCACAGACTTAATTTGGGAAGAGAGCCAAATAATGTGATTTAAGAGGAATGCTTTCTTTGTATCAGAATTTTATAGGTCCATTGCTTGTTCAGATTCAGCACAGTGAAACTGCATTTGCCTCCTCAGCCTCTTCCTATACAGCTTTATTCGGGAGGTTTCAGCACATCCACTAATTGGGGTACAGGCCCCCTCTCCAGGGCAAAGAATACCTTTGGCAATGCTGGCATCTCCTTGAGACAACTCTGCCAATCTTCAGCCTAAAAGAAGGTAAAGATTAAAAGTTTCCACAGTGTAAGGCTCTGACTAGCCAGTTTGTCGTGGCATTTGCTAATGACCAAAATGTGTAAAGTGTTTTACAGAAAAGGGAATAAAGGTGTATTTTCCAAGAAGTGTTTCTTTCTTTTCTCTTCAGGCCTCTACATATTCTAGGGATCAAAAAGGTCCCCTATTTTGTTTCCACTAGAAGTGAATTCCCAGACTGAACAATGGCTTGGACATGGATGATGAAATAACTTACATTTCACTTAA